GTGAATTGGAGATTATGGTACTGTGTGGTCTGGAGGATGCGGTACTGTGTGATCTGGTGAGTGTTGTACGGTCTGATCTGGAGAGTGTGGTAGTAACTCACCTGGATATTAAAGGGTATAAAGGATTTCTGCATAAGGAGGTGGGTGAGGGAAGGGTATTCTGTGGAAGAAACAAGGTTTTGTGTCCATTTCTTCAGCGATGCTTACAAAAGCTGTATGTGAATTTGTGGAGCAGGCAAGTTAGGGGGCCCATACACTCGTCTCATTTGGATGCAGAACTCCTCAGGTGGCGTGGCCCTGCCATCAGTTATCTCTGCTCAGCACACTTTCAGGCTGTGCTTCTTGGTCCACATGATGTAGTATTAGTGCTTTTCTTCTACCTCTGAAGACTGTGGCCCTGTGCTATAAGCCTAATATTTGTGTTCCCCAAAATTCTTATGTTGAAATTCTAACAGCCAAGGTGATGGTATTAGGAGGTATGGTGTTTGGGAGGTGATAAGGTCATGAGGGCAGAGCACACATATATGGGAAAGAGTCCTATGTAAGAGGCCTGAGAGAGATGCCTTTCCCCTTGACCAGGAGAGGACAGTGAGAAGGTGCTGTCTATGAGCCAAAAGACAGGCCCTCACCAGACACCAAATCTACCTTGATCTCAGACTTCTAAACCTCCAGAATTTGAGAAGTAAATGCCAGGTTTTCATGAACACTCAGTTTATGGTAGTTTGTTATAGCAGCCCAAATGGACTAAGAACACCCTGTCATCTCTTGTCCTTGCCATGCCATTTGTCATGGTCTGTGGAGTTCCTCCTAAGTGTCCTGAACAGTTGTCCACTGGAGCTTTCTGTATCTCTAGTCTTCTTAAGGCACCTATGAGGTTTCTGCTCATTGTCTCTGAGTCCTTCTGGGAATGCCAGCTGACTCCTCTGCTTGGACCTGATAGAACACCCTGGGCCCATGACCTACGAGTCTGAGATCTTAGGCTCAAGCTGTTTGTTTCACTCATCTTGTCTATAACAAGCTTTCATCATTGGAGTAAATGACCGGGAAATGTCTTAGGTTACCTAGAGCATATGCAGATGAATGCTTTCCTGCATTCATCCAAATTAATGCTAAAATTCATTCAGCATTTTTTCTGCTAAAAATGAAAGAGAGAAAGAGGAATCAAGACGGCGAAAGACGGTGATCCTCTATTTTTTTTACCCTTCTGTAACCTCGTATTACCTGGCAGACCACCTGGGCTTCAGATGACTTCAGATCTGACGTGCCTGAGAGATGGGTCTCGTGGTTTTTGCTGTGAAGGAGTCAGCTGAGAGATAGTAGCTCGTGTCTAGGTCAAAACTCTGGAGAGGTGAGAAATCTCACCCCAATCTCATCAGCCTCGCTCTTTTCTTACAGAGGTTCCGAAAACAGAACAGACTTTTGAAGAGCGCCTGATCCTCAAAGCTTTCTTGCTCAAGTTTGTCAATGCCTACTCCCCCATCTTCTATGTGGCCTTTTTCAAGGGGAGGTGAGTATGATGGTGTCATGAGTAGAAAGGCAATTTTGTCACTAAGACTTGGTTCTCTACTGTCAGGACAATAGGGTCGGCCTGTCCCCATTGCCCACTCATCCTCACCCCACTTCCACCTGCCTTCCCATGGAGAAGGAATGCTAGCATGCAATCATTTTGAATTAGCATCTTGAGATTCTGATGACCCTGGCATTTTACAGGGATTTGACTGTAGGCCCTGAAGAGAAAGTTTTGAAAGAATTTGTGTCTCCCAACTTTGAGGATGAGGCAGGAGGGAATTTCACATCTAGCCAGTGACTCCTGGATCTTGTAATGCAATTCTGATGCCAACTACCTGGAGTTAATACAGATTTCACAGGTTAAGGACACAGCCCCTCACAAGACTTCCCTTACTTCACACACCAGTGGCAAGCTCTGGGGTTGTCAGGCCACTGGCAGTTGTGACCCACTGGCTGTAATTCCAGATTTCTCATTACTCCATCAAATTCAATAATTCACTAGAATGACTCACAGAACTCAGAAATGTGCTATACTTACAACTGAAGTTTTATCGTAATAGAGGGATGTAAATCCAAATCAGCAAATGGGAGAGGCATATGGAACTAGGTTTAGGAGGTTCTTAATCATGAAGCTCCCATGTCCTCAGGATGTGTCACCCTCCTGGCACATTGGAGTGGCATGATTGATAGAATCATTTGCCATGTGAGTGAACTCAATCTCCAATGCCCTTCCCTTGCCCTGAGATTGGGCTAGTATCACATGACTCAAAGCCTCAACCAACATGGTTGATCCTTCTGGCCTGGCTTGCCCCCATCCTGAGTAATCTCATTAGCATAAATTTAGGTATAGTCCTAGGGGTCTACCACGAATAACAAAGATACTCGTATCACGGGAAATTCCAAGGATTTAGGTGTTCATGCAGGAACCAGGGACAAAGGCCAGTGAAATTCTTTATTATACAATCAGTCTGGATGTAAAATCAGTTTGATAAATATTTTTTTATGATCAAACCAGTTGGCTACCTACAAGGAAATTTCCCAATAGACGTCAACCAACAACACATCAGGAAAGCTTCCCTAGAACTAAAAGCTCGTTAAGCAGGCACTAATAGCACGAGCTGTCATCATCCACACTTGATAATTTCTTACAGAGGTGTTTGTCATCCACACCACAGCCCCCTTCTCAGGACCTCTCCCCTTGGCTGACATGAAATTATAGAAGCAGAGAGACTGTCCATATTAAGAAGTATACACTTCATTGGTGCTTTCAATGTAGATTTAGTGGCAATAGCAAGTTACATGCATATGACATTCTAGGCAAGGAAAAAGGATCCTGACCCTTAGATGAACGATGGTATACTAGAAGAGATAGTCTTAGCAATAGCACACTGTAATCTCCAGTAAGTGATTATATCCAGTAAGTGATATCAAAAGAGGTGTAAAGAAAGTGTTGGGGGAACAGTTATGAACGGAGACAACAAGAAGACTTCAGCAAAGGAAAGGCTTACACTCAGCCTTAAATGGATGAGTAGGATCTCAACAGGTGAACACGGGGATGACACTGCAGTAGGTAGGATTATTCAGATTGTCTGTCTGGTTCCATGGTAGGCTTGTACCATTTTGCTTCCCCGACCTGCACCATTTTATTATCACCCAATAAAATAGACTCTACTTAGAAGAGGAATGAGACCAGCTTCTTTTATTCCTTTGAATATTTTCAGCAAGAAGTCAAGAATTTCTCTTTTCTGACCCCAGGAATCTCTATTTGCAACTTTAGTCCATCTCACCCTCCCTTTCCTGGGAATGAGAAACTCTTATTAAGGAGTTGCAATCAGAGCTGTGTTCTTGACACTAGTTAGGGAAAAAGGTGTGACGACAGTGCACTTAGAGATAATCCAAACTGCATGGTGTTTAGGCGCGCACACACACGCACGCACACACCAGGCCCAGCTTCATCCTCTGCCCAGCTTATCCCTCTCCTCTGACATTTGACTGGGTTAAGAAGTGAACCCCAGGTGTTACAGGGGGTTACTTGTTGATAACGGTGTGCACTCCTATCCCTGAGTGATCTAGCACTCGCCCTGACCAGTGCTTTCGAAGAGGACAGTGGTGGTGGTATTCCCCTCAGAAGACATGTCCTTGAGCCACCCTGCATGCTCTCTCTGCCCCTAACTCTTCCCACACTGTTTGATTTCAGGTTTGTGGGCAGGCCTGGAAGCTACGTCTATGTATTCGATGGTTACCGCATGGAAGAGGCAAGTACAGCCACGGGTGTTTCATGCCTGGCACCCCAACCCAGCCCCATTCTTATCTCCAGCACAGCATGGCTTCATTTGCGCCCCTGCTTCTCAGAGCTCCCCTTGTTCTAACCAGTCCTTTCCTTATCTTCCCCCTGCAGTGCGCTCCAGGGGGCTGTCTCATGGAGCTCTGCATTCAGCTCAGCATCATCATGTTGGGGAAGCAGTTGATCCAGAACAACATCTTTGAGATTGGAGTCCCGTACGTAATGAACTCCTCTAACCTCTCTCCTTGCTGCCAGGGGTTAGCCCAGAAGTGCCAGGCTTTCACCAGGTTATCTATGGCCTTTCCTCTTCTTAGACAGCTTGGTGATTTAATTCTCTGTCAGTTTGCCGATAACTTTCCCCATGGGGCAAACCTTGCTTGCCATTCTGATTTGAGATGTTGGAGGCTCAGAAAGATTTACCCTTTGCTTAAGTACACATAACTAGTAAGTAGCAGAGCCAGGAGTCAGATCTCTTGGCTCCCAGAGTACATAATATTTTAATGCTGTTTGTCCTCTCAGTGAGTGAGTAAAAAAGACTCGGTATGGTGGATAAATGAATGTGAACGATTAAAATGTAATGGAATCATTTAGGACAATCTCTAAGAAGAAAATGTGGAATACATAATCTTAGGAGGGGAGGGCGGAATAGTTGGTGAAATGCAGAATGAGTTATTATCACGTGGATTCCCCCCTATGCGCCCCAGGGTTTTATGAAAATGTCATAGAACTTCTTTCAGTCAGGTTTTGCATTGAGATAGTCATGAAAATAAACACAGACTCACTTTGTACTGTCACTAAAAGAAGGAAGGATGGAGCAAGCTAAAATATGCTTACAGGTCAAAGAAAAATGTAACTGCCTCTGCCTTTCCTTCCTATTGCCTTGTGATTTGGAAGAAGAGTCTGTTTCAGGGGATGCTTTTAGGCAGTCCAGCATCAGAGAGCTAGGAAACGACAGAGATGCCCAGGGGTAACTGAGAGGCTGGGCCAGGTCTGCTTAGGAGGATAGATGGATAGCTTGTTCCAGGCCCAGGGTTCTTTGTAAACCACTTTAAAGATGACCATTCTGGGATGGATGTAATCGTCAGACAGTACCCATAAGATTCTGTGACACACTTTCATCTGCTTAGAGGTACATTAATTGTTTGGGAAGTCGTCCAATAATGAACCTTTTAAAATCCTTTTCTTTCCAAATATATTTCTTCGTGTTTGCCCAGGGTTCTTAGCTGCAGCTATTGGAATTCAGTGTGGCTACTTTAAGCAACAAAGGCATTTGTTTCAGAACAAAGTGACTGACAGAGAATGTTGTATTCTTTAAAGGCCAGAGAGTAGGCGCTGAGCTGCATAACCAGGAATAACACTGTTTACACTGCAGGGGAACTTGCAGGGGACGCCACTGTCTCTAGCTCATGGCTCATACTGCTAAGACGGTGAAAGAAAAACGTAGATGAAACGGCCCTTGTCTTCTCAGAGCTTAACTTTTTAGTCTGGGAGATGAAATAGACTGCATGTAACTACATATTCTGTGTGTGAATTCAGAATCCAGAATAAGTAAAGGTCAGATGTTTGGGAGCAGTCAAAGAAGCCTTCAAAAGCAGAGAGGTTTCTGGCCAGGTGCGGTGGCTCACCCCTGTAATCCCTGCACTTTGGGAGGCCGAGGTGGGCGGATCACGAGGTCAGGAGTTCAAGACCAGCCTGACCAATATGGTGAAATTCCATCCATCTCTATTAAAAAAAAAGTACAAAAATTAGCCAGGCGTGGTTGTGTGTGCCTGTAGTCCCAGCTACTCAGGAGGCTGAGGCAGGAGAATTGCTTGAACCCAGGAGGCGGAGGTTGCAGTGA